TTCCGATCTAAGAAAAGAAAAGAAAAGAAAAGAAAAGAAAAAAGAAAAGAAAAAAAAAAAAAAAAAAAAAGCCTTTTAACTTCTGCGGGTTAAAGATATACGATCCATTTTCCACCCCTCCGTAGAGCTTGCTGATGTCTAGCTTTATGAAACTCTTTTTGAAAAATGTTTTTAATAAAGTTTTGAGTGTGCATTTTAAGCAAAGCAAATCATGGGGACCTTTTTTTAGCATTTAAAACGGGCCAAAATCCCATTGAAACGGTTTGTGTTCTTGTACACAAATATGCAAATTCAAAGAAGAGACTTTGTGGGCACCTCCTTGCAAAGTTGCAGGTTTTAAATGCATCACTCTAATATTTTGGAAGACTGGTTGGGCTGTGAGCTGTTGATGGTTTTGCAGTGCAGTTGCTAGTGATATAAATGTTGCACATTTATCTGTTACTAAATTCACAGAGCAAATGTGACCTAGGCATATTTTTGCACTTAATTCTCAAAGTGATTAAAAAAAAAAAAAAAAAAAGACAGTGCTGGAACAAAGAAAGCCTGAGACCCCTTGCTCAGGCTCCTGTAGCTCATTTTCAAGAGCTTTCCTTCCCCCCTCCCTTCCATCCAATTAGAAAAAAAATGTGAAGGTGCATCAGCCCATACACTGGACTGGGGATCCTACCCCATTTAAACTCTGGTACTGCAAGCGTGTTTTGCATAATTCTCTAAATTCTAAACTACAGTATTTAGTGAAAAGGGAAAACAGAGTCTCCAGACTCAGGAGATTTAAAAATCTAAAGCCTGAATCAGTCTTGATATTCCCATGAGTTAGAATTTAAATAGAAATTTTGACTTTGCTGTTAGCAAACTTGTCTCTTGCTTGTTTATGTAACTACTGTTTAAGTGACAAAACAACCTGCTGCTCAATCAGGAAAAGACTCATGTTTAATCTAAAACCAAGAGATCTAGCTAAGAATTCCTGGGAATCAAACATTGTCCAGTCCCTTTTTTTTTAGTATTTTATTGATTGATTTTAGAGAGAGGAAGGGAGAGAGAAAGAGAGAGAGAAACATCAATGATGAGAGTCATTGATCGGCTGCCTCCTGCACACTTGGGGATTGAGCCTGGAACCCCGGCATGTGCCCTGACGGGGAATCGAACCGCGATCTCCTGGACCCTAGGTCGATGCTGAACTGCTGAGCGACACCTGCCAGGCTATCCAGTCCTTTTTAAAAAATTTTTTAAACAGGCCATGAAAAGATTGAGACTAATTCCTCTCCCA